TCTCAGAATATCTGCTACTAAAGCTGAGGTGTTTATTGATGTGCATAATTCTATTGCAATTTGTGCACCATCTATGGAAGATGATATTGTACAAGAAGTTCAAGAGGAAAATGACGAACAGAAGAGACTAAAGAACAATTTACAATGCCAACTTTGAACGATGGTCTTAATGCTGTCAGTGTATTACGAAAAATTGTTCGTTTTAATGAACAGTTTCATGTGCAGGAACACAGGAACTATAGGGTGCGTACGCACGACAGATGTGTTCCAAACAGACTAAAATTACAGATTTTATTACGTACGTAATGTCTTTTTATTATACGTTGTATGTGAAATAAATAAAATGTAGGTTTATTTTATACATGAATGTATTAATCACACATTTAATAATAGGTATTAGGTACTTAATAACAACGTCACCGGTTGTTACGACTATCGGTTTTTACGATCAAATATGAGTAGTCCCTTCGGTGTCGTTATAACAGATTTTGACTATAATTCAGTGGTAAACGCAACACCCATGTCGAGTTTAACTCATTTTAAATTTACGGATAATTTCTTAAGTCTGCATTTTTGGACATGTTCATAGGAATTCTTTGTCCTTTTGACTTTATAGAATATTTAGTTACATCTGGTATTACTATCTGTAAAAACGCACTTCAACATTTAAAATAAATAGAACAGCTTAGCGTCAATACAATAGAAATTAGGTCAAGCAATTGCGGTACCCTCTCAACTTCAAAGTTAATTTATTAGAGACCTGTGGCTAGAAACGACTGTGGATTGTATTAAGAAATTGGGATTTCACACGTTATTGTAAGTGTAAGCCAAAATGCTAACGTTTTGTTTAAAATTATTGGCTTCAAAAAAGCATTTTTTACCTAACGAATTCAGAGCTTTCTTTGGAATTATTCAAATGGGTGTATAATTATTATATGAAAAAATTGGAGTATTCGATACTTTACGAGCATAGATATTCATGATATAAAATCGAAAATGTAAAACTTTTAATGCAAAGTTGATTCTCCTCGACTACAACCATTATTACTAAATGGAATGCACTTTTAAAAAAATGGCAACTAACTTGACTAATGGTCCGTAACTTTTTGAAAGTAGTAAGTACAGCATCGAGAAGGTCTCGAAAAACAGGACGTATTTAATAACATTTACTTTTTCTGTATTAGTTAATAAAATTAAACGGACAACAATTTTCGATTTATAAGAGACCGATTTATTGAAAGTGCATGGTTTTTGGTTTAAACTGTTCTACTTTTTGAAAATTGCAACTGATTGTCTATTAATTCTGCAGCGTTCTGAATATTAATTAAATTTATCATGAAAACGTATCAAACGCTTACAAAATTGAAAGAAAATTACAGATAAAACTTGAATAAAAAAATTTTACATATTTTTGAAATTTATTCTTAAAACAAAATCACTTTAATTTAGGTTGTTTAAAATTACTTATTAAAAACTTAATATTATTATTCATCTAATTGCAGAATTAATTTATAATATCAAAATTTGGTATGGGAAATCTGTTTTGTATGTATTACTTTGGCAAATCCATCGAACCGTCCTCGAATATTAGCAGTTGGGTGCACATAAAGCTGATTTATGACCGCCTGCAATCTGCGGGTTCTCTGCTAAGCAGGGGCAGTTTTGTATAGAGTGTCACCGAGCGGCATGGCCTAGAGGTTTAGACCATTGCTTAGCATTCGGGAGGAGGCCGGTTCGATTCCGGGTCCGTCTGCCTTGGTCCAAGTTTTTCTGTGGTTTCCTTGGATCACTTAAACAAATGCTGGCCCAGTAATATTCCACAGATAATCTTTCATTCTCTTCTGTCTTCATTTCGTCCGTCTCATCTTTTTCACCCATTCCCACGATTGCTGAAAGCAGACTGAAGAGGACCTTCCGTCCTACCTTCCGGCGTAGTCCGGAGGGACTGCCCGTTCACCAGCATTATTGGCTAGTGGGAATAAAACACCCAAATGTTTTTTTGTTATAGAATGTCATCATGAAGCTACAGTGCAAATGTATTCTGTATCGGTACATTTTGGTAAAATTACTGAAACGTTTTCGTATATACCCCTTCAGTGCATATACATATAGCACATAAGTAGATATAAGACCGTCTGTAAAGATTTAAAGTAGTTCGCAGTGACTAGACGCGACGAGACGGGAAAACGTTAAGATGAAAAGAAGAGACGTTAACGACTCTCTAACAACAGTCACGATTTAATCTGAGTATCTCATAAAATTAGTGAGGTACATATAAGAATACTAAGAAAGTGACAGTGTTGTGGAATTTCGTAATCTTTAGCAAGGCTCTTATAAAAGTCATCCATTTATTGGTTGGACACGCACTTCTATTCCTTCCTATCCTGAGCTAATCTTCGCATTTCCTAAAGCTAGAACATCCCACATCCTTAACTATTTGCAAACAGTAATCTAATCCAGGTCTACCTCTAGTCCTTTGAACTCCTGTTTATGACTAGACATTAATGTCTGAGAAAGTGTCCTATCAACTTATCTCGCCTATTTTTAATTGATTTCCATAGAGTCCCCTGTTCTTCTATTATTTCTAATACCTCTTCATTTCTAACCTTCTCTATCTACGGTATCCTCATCATCCGTTGGTACCACATTTTGAACGCTTTTAACCTTTTCTTTTCTGCCGCGCCCACCGTCCATGTTTCGCACCCGTACAGCTCCACCGTCCAAACATACCCTTTTGACAATCTTTTTCGAATTTATAAATTAATCGTTAGCGAGCATAGAAGTGACTTCTTTTTATTGAAGTCGACTCGACCCTGGGCTATCCTCTGCTCTATATCCCTACTACTCCTTCCGTCTTGACTTATCTGATTTCCTAGATACCTAAAATTAACCACTTCTTCTAATCTTTCGTCTCCTGTCTTTATATTCGCTGTTTCCTTGCTTTTTAGTCTCTTGCATACCAGTATTTTTGTTTTACTTGAGAACATTTTATTTAATGCAAATTCGTTTGAAAGAAATAATCGATTTTTAGATGGTCATGATGATCTACATCTTCAGCATGGGTTCCATAATTCGCCTTAAAAGAGTTTATTTTCTGCTTCATTACTGCAGGTAGGTACACGAGAAGCGACACGGAGTAACGATAAAACTGTAATAAAAACGCCACTATAGAGCCGTGACATTCTGGGTATCGAAGAAGGAAACGCTGAATATGTTAAAAACTCTTACTTTCAAAGATAGCTAGCTTTACATCGATCGTTCGTCATTTCTCGGACGTTCTATGACTTTTTCCAGTCGTCGTTCCGTTGCTCCGTTCCAAGTAATAATTTCGGGCCAAGAGTGACAGACAAAAATTTCGGGGATTAAAAAGGTTTCACTATTCATGAGCGCTGGTGACATTTGAAGATAGCTTTACAGTTAGGAGTATTTTGAGTGAAAAACATATCACGAAGACACTTGTTCGAAGAACGAGAGGGACCTACATTCGATTGGAATCGCGGTCAGACATGGTGGTGGACTTCTCGATCACTTCATGCCTTTCGGCGTTGCCATATTTCTTTATACGGTTTTCAGACAATTTTGCTTTACACTTTTACTTTTTTCCGCAACTTAAAACTCAATCTTTTACCATATTAGATGTCTAATAGTAACTGTGACATAATTAATTTTAAGACTTGAGATTGGATAATCCGTAATAATTTAATACAAAAGAAACAATAGATGCTATTGTTTATTACAGTTTCAAATGGTATTTTCAAGAGTGTCATGTTACTTTAAGAGTAACATTTCATGTTTAAACAATGTTGTTATTATGTTTTACTAAAACTGCACCGTTTAAGTTTACATGGGTAATTTGCTCATTCGACTTTTATTGAAATGATACTTGACGATAATGTCAGTAATTAATTTTCTTTGGTTTTTGTTCTAAGATAAGAACTTCTAATACAAAAAAAATTATTACTTAAATAAATTAAAACGGTAATATGCATAACTTCATTTATATTACTACATATTTACTTAGTTATAGCCAAACTGCTCCCTCATCACCCTTAACAATTTTATTTTTTTCTTTAGAACGTAGTGTACTTAATGAAGAATGAAAAACAAGTCATATGATAATGTTAACGATTTTTTTAATATTTTCAATGGAGAATTTTTGAAGAGCTAATCAGTATGAAATAGAACGGATTATGATAATTAAACTCATTTTTAATTACGCTTGATATCAAATAAGTAATTGTTTTATTGCTAATCAATGTACACATGCTTACAATTTTTATATTTTTACTTACCTTTTTTAAAAATACATACATTTATCGAAACCAGAAAGAAAAGAATAGAAAATTTCGTTATCACAATTTGAAACCATAATTCCAAAGGTGATGATGTAAAATATAATTCCTACTCAGCCTAGTAGAGGTGAATAATTAAAAAAAAGGAATAATTAAAAATTTCATTCGTTACTTATTTCTATGAACTTAAAAAAAATAAATTAAGAAATGTTTTTAGCGGCTAGGCAACCAGAGGTTGTTAATTATTATGGAAAGAATTTTTTTTTTGAATTTTGAAAAAATTTAATATGTAAACATGCTGAAGATTTTCAAATTCCGAATAAAACCAGTGAAACAGTGGGTATCAAGTGTTTTAAAAAAAAATAGTTTTTTAGTATTAAAAAAATTTCACCAAGAGATATGCCAAAATACAATTACGATTACTACTGTAATTATATTTTTTAATTATCTTTCAATATTTTTTCGTATAATTTGTTATAAAACTTCTCTATTTCATGCATTTCTCTCAAATTGAGTTGTCAAAATAATATTTTTGTGTGTGACGCGATCGAGTAAGTATCGTAAAATAACAAATAATTGTGGTTAGTTTGGCAACAGCGTAAAGCTCATTTCCGATGGCCAAGAGCCGAGAAATTGGCACACAATTTGAAACTGACTGGTGCGCGTGGTTCTTTTTTATGTAAACTTACACTCCCGTAAATAATAACACGCGTGAGCGTCCGCGGTTAGTTCGTCACTTATTTTCATTTCGTTCGATCATAGAAACCGCGGATCAATACGATTTTTCTACGATTTACTGTCGTGTTTTCGGTTTTACATTTAGTTCCGGTGTTCTACTGCTGAAGAATGGTATCAGGCGTGTGCACCTTATAGAACCAAAACCGGGTTGAATGGCAACTGCTGCTTCAATAACTGTGTGTGGATAAAAGAAAATGAACAGGTATGTACGGCCCTTTTCATTCAATAAGTCCCTTTTTTATTGGGTATTGAATGTGATAATAATGATTGTTCGACAATAATAGTGTTTGCTATTGATCAACATTATTGAAAGATGATTTTGTGTAGAGTAATTGTTTAATCATTGACATCCGCCTCGTATTGTTTTTCGTATCTACCCATATTAGAGCGGGAAGATATACCGTAATTAGGACGTAATATACTTAAAACTCCTCGTACCAGTTCTTTCCCTATACTAACGTGCTGTTGCTATTTCTCTTTTGGATTTCTTTGTACAGATTATGTCGATGATATAACATAATCTTTGGATAATTTTATTGGACATTGACAAGATGGCGACGCTTATGAATATGGCGGCACAAAATAACATTTTTTTGAAAACACGTAGTACCTATCGCTTTTTACATAAACGTACTTATAATCAACGATGTTAAGTATCAATGATATTTGTATTCGGGATAACACAATACCTAATATTCCAAATTTTCTGAAAGGAGAGAGGGTTTGAAGGGCTGATTACATCGTGAGTATGGTAAAAATAAAAATGGTAATGAGGGAGTGATTATACAAATATGTGAATTAAGAGGAAGTCAGTTTGATGGTGATACAATCGCTGGTAGTACTCGAATGAGTGAGAAATTCAAATATATTATTACCTCACTAATTTTAAGTACCAACTCCATTTTACTAAGCACGTTATTAACCTCACTTTTATGAAATCATGATGCTTCAAAGAAGATGTTAGATGATCTAGAGTCTAGAGGAATTTAGAATTCAATATAAAAGAGTACGCTGAAAATAAATGTAGCCTATTGGAATATTTTAAATATTTCTAAATCCAAATAATTGTTCTTGTGACTTATTGGCGTAGCAATTAATACGTGATCTACTTTAAAATAAAGAGAGGACTGTTTTACTTTTTGTTGTTTGGTTTTCTCATTCTCTATTGGCAAAGCAAATTTCCATGCATTAAATAAGCTTTTTCTTCCTCTGCTCTTCTACTGTAATTAGGGACATTCACAAAGCATTTATTTTTCATTGGAAAATAATGAAAATTTAAGTCTAGATTTTTATGAAATCGGTTTTCACAAGGGTGAACACAACAAACTAGTCTACATTATGTACTTCTGGTTCTCGGGCTTATGGACCACGTTTTGCTAATTGGACTGCATTCTGTGCTGAGAATCGGAAGAGGATTGGCGAACAAGCAATATGTTGGATAAACGTAAGAGTCGCAAAAACCTTACCCAATTTATTCGTTTATTTTACACAATATGCTTCTGACTGAGATGAGAATTTTATAATTCAAACTGTATCATTAATAATTATCGTAAAAGAACGGAAGGGGGTTCTTCACAGAGCACTTCACATTCATGTGCTATTTTATAAAATTTACTTGAAAGTCGTCGATAGCTGTTTTTTTCGTGTTTCAACATGGTTCAGTTTATTATATTTATATGAGGGGACCAAATGAAATTATTTAATTTAGATAATGGGCCAAGTCTGAATTGAATCTTGAATTATATTGCTGGCAGGTGCATAAAAATATTCTAACGGGATTGATAAAATTATTGCAAATTAGCAAACTTTCGTAATTAATTGCTTTAATTGCAAATGTTAATCAATTAGTGACATTCAAGGCAATTATTCCTGAATTATCCCTGAAGTATCCAATGAATAATTAAGAAGGGATTACTTTATATTACGGAGAGCCGTTATTCGTATTTTATATGCATAATTTGGCTTATTCATTGCTCGCGAACGGTTAATTTTGAAATTCGAAAAAGGTTGTTAAAGATGTATGTTTGAAGCGCGGCGTTGTAAGGGTGCGAAACATGAACGGTGGGCGCGGCGGAAAAGAAAAGGTTAGAAGAGTTCGAAATGTGGTGTTATAGGCGGATGATGAGGATAACGTGGGTAGAAAAGGTAAGAAATGAAGAGGTATTGGAAAGAATAGGAGAACAGACGACTCTATGGAAGTCAATAAAAAATAGGTGAGATAGGTTGCTAGGACACCTTCTCAGGCATGAAGGTCTAATCAGAGACATATTAGAGGCAAAAACAGGAGTTAAGAGGGGTAGAGGTAGACCTAAATTAGATTACTGTTCATAAATAGTTAAGGATGTGGGATATTCTAGTTTTAGGGAAATGCGAAGATTAGCTCAGGATAGGAAAGAGTAGAGGTGTGTGTCCAACCAGTCTCAGGACTGATGACTTTATGATGATGATGCATAATTTCGAAAATTAAAATCCTATTTATTGGTATATTTGGAATGCCCAAAATACATTATGTATTTTTACGATCTTATTTAAACCACACACTGTCCAATAGGTCGTTTCTATTACAATTTATGTGAAAATGTTTTTGGCCTTAGTGATTTCAATGCCCCTTTTTTACTTATTTCTGAACGAAGAAAAGTGTTATTACATTAGGAATCGTTTTTTGCTGGTTATCTAATAATATTTACCTAAAATTTGTTACGCTTTACGCTAGTTAGTCTGAGCATTCGGTGATTAATTTTTTCAATATTCATGGCATTGTTATTGGATTAATAAGCATTGTAATCTTAGTTTTACGATGAACGCATTAGCTGAATTCGATTGGGCATATTTTATTTTCGGAGTTAGTATTTTTATTGAATCTATAATAAGTTATTCTTGTAATTGTTAAATGCTATTATTTATTAATAACATCCGTGTTTTGGTGTAAGCCTTTCAAATAATCGCGGTTTCGTTAACCTGTAAATGGGCTAATAGCAAAAGTTAATAATAAGAATTACGTGTACCACATTTAACGGTTTGTTAACTTGTAAAAGAATAGTGAAAAATTGGAAACATTTATTGCTGAATAGAATTTACTTATTACCTATTTAGCTATTATTTATTATATCTTTTTTTTTCTTGGTAAGTCCATTGAAATGTTAATAAAAATTTAAATAATCAGAGGAAGCTTATTACTAGGTATTATGTAAAAGTTTTGTAGTTTTTTTGTAAGCCTTTAGTCGTTATGTTACTTTTGTGTAACATCTTATGAAAAATTTAATTTATTTTGGGCCATGAAGTGAATAATAACAAGTACTTTTCATATTTAAGTTTTCAAAATGTGTTTGAATATTGGAGTGCACTTCTTTGTGCCTAAAAAAATATGCGATTCATAAAAGTCTGCTTTTGTCGTGCAGCTAAATTTTCAGAAGTTGAATTGCAAAGTTATTCCGTAAACTTCAAAAGATCTATCGTGCTTTGACTGTACCATTGTTTTTGTAATAACGTTAAAATATTCTAGCTACAGCTAGCTAATTTTCTTCTATTTTAGNACTACCTCAAATTAATGAGGGAAAAATTGTTGCTGTTGTCACATTCCCGCCGGGAATCGAACCCGGGACCTTTGGCTTTACGCACCAATGCTCTGAGCTCTGAGCCAAGGGTCCCGGGTTCGATTCCCGGCGGGATTTTTTTTGCCTCATTAATTTGAGGTAGTGTGTAGTGGGTAAAAATTCAGGAATGAATTTTCAGAATAATATTTCATATTAAACTAACTCACTTCTAAAAGATGTCTAAATTGTATGTATGTTAAATTTTGTTTCATTATTCATACTTAATATTGTCAAAATTTAAATTATTTGCTTTATGTGTTCGATGACGAAATTTAATAATTTTTCATGCGGAAGGAGATCGATACAATTAATTAAATACAGAACAAAAGACTAAAATGTTAGGTAGAGTGTAAACGAGAGTTAGATGAAATTAAATAAACTTTTTATCTTTGACCTTCTTTGTAATATCCCACCACTAAAGGATTGACCCAGTGCAACTGTAGATTTAGTGAAGGAACATTCATGTGATAATAAAGATTGCAGATATTCCTTTTAATGTAATTTAGTTAAACATGGCGTGTGTGTATTCCGTATGCCCTTAAATTTACCACAAGATGGAAAAATTAAAATGAAAAATTTATAGTGATGATCGTACAACTAATTATTTATACGTCTTTTGTACAGCTACTTCCAAAACGTGATTTTAGACGGTTTTAAAAGATGAGTATTTTCTGCGTTTACTTGAGAGTTTGTTGTAACGCTTTGAATCTGAAGGTGTCATCAACATGTGCTCCTTTATTACTAAATAAGGCGTAGTTTCAATATATATTTCCGAAAAGATATTAAATTAGAGACAAAGGCACAGTCTGCTAAGCATATTTATTATGGTCAAATAATTAGGTCGGTAACTACGTATTCATCAATATGGAAGTGTGATCAAAACTTTCTATTTCATATACGGTCTTAAATTTTTTTTTACTTTCTTTTTAATTATTTGGATAAGAATCAGCAGTCAACCATTAATTCTAAAGTCCATTGTCTTTACAGAAAGTTAAGCAGAAAATATAATTGAAAATATGTACATATGTTTATTTGGAGAACTTCAATAAACAACTGGAGCAGTTTTAACGAACTACCTAATTGTGTATAGGGTACGTTATTATTTATAAAAGGGATGTAGTTTAGATGAAAATTAAAGGATATAAAGATTAGAAAATACCTTTTTTTATGTATTGAGTACCTTCTTATTGGCATTTGAACATTGTAAAATGTTTTTATCTTGTTTAAAGAATCTTGAGGAACGCAGAAAAAAGCTGAAGTTGTCTGTGTAATTATGATACTAAATTTTCATGATGAGTTGCAGTCATAATCAAATCTCAGTTAAAATCAAATACTATTCTTGTCCACTTGATAAGTATGACATGATTTTTATATTTTGTTTTATTTTAATACATTCGGGCTACTGCCCAATTAAGTACATAAGAATAATAAATTTTATGTTAATGAATTATGATTAATTAAATAAAACATTAAAACGGAAAATTCCACGTAAAATTCTAAAACTTATGCAAACCTTTTAAAGCTATAGTATAGAGAAATAATTGTCGCTTTTTAATAAAAGATAAAAAGTTTATAGGTAACAAATTTGATAGCCACTACATGTCATTTTGAAAACACTAAGCTTGAAACCGTAAAAATAATTGAACAATACTGTTTTGTTTACTACAATCATTTTACTATCAGAAATGGGCTACTAAATAGTGGTATTAATGTGAAATCGTTTGTCCATCAGGTATCATACAAATTAATGACTATTTATATGTGTACTATATAACCGTCCTCACGACTGCACTGTCCTCGATATGCACTTAATCGTCAAAATCAAACCATCGGTTGTACATTTTCTGCATGACAATTCTCTTGCGGTTTTTCCGGATCTATTCAAAGTATTTCTTGAAATAAAATCTAATTTACAATGTGATTGATAAGTCAGTGTCTTCCTTTAAGGATGTGTTAGTAGAATCCATTTTAAACGCCTCTTGCAGGAATGACTTAAAAGATTCACCAAAAATGGCATTGCCATTGTTTCCTACACTACAGATTAGAGGATTACTTTCTGCAAAAAGGACTAATATCTCATGTACCCTTTAGTCTCTTTATATCAATTAACAATAACGATTTCATGTTGAAAAGTTTAACTAAGTGACATTGGCTGTTTAATGAAGGAGACTTTATGCTATAAAAAAGGGGTGACCAAGTTGAGATTTTTTTAATGTTGATCCCTAAAGGTATGAAGAGGGGTATTAATATGACCCAGAGAAAGACACTACATATCCTAAACCAGTAAATCTATAGATTTGAAATTTGGAGAGAATATTCCTCGAGTAGGCACATCAGAGGTGCTTTAAGCCTTTTTTTGAAATTCAATCCCTAAGAGGGTGAAAATGGTGTTAATGTGATTCACTGATATACAATAATATACAAGGGTGAGCCTAGAGATTTAAAATTTGTAGGGAATATTCCTGAAGTATACTAAGCAGGAATTTTTTAAAATTTCATCCCTAACGAGACGAAGGCGCTATTAATATAACTAACTGACAATTATAGCCTAATCAGGTAAACCTAGGGGTTTTGGGAGGGAAATTCCTTATGTACTGTAAGTGTATCTATAATAAGTAGGGGTTTTTTAAATTCCATCCCTAATGAGGCGAAGATGAGTGTTAAAGTAACTGATTGGCACAACAACCCACAGCCTTAACCTGTAGACCTAGACGTTTGGGGAGGGAAATTGTTTATGTACTGTAAGGGAACCTATACTAAGGAGGAAAATAGAAGGAGGAGACTGTGGTAAATATTAATTAAATACTCACCCCTAATTACCACAAATAATTTTATATGAGCGGACACGTGTTTCGCCCACTTCACACGTGGGCATTATCAACGCGAGAGTTTAACTAAGGAGGAATATTTTAAAATTCCATCCTTAACGAGGTGAAGATGGGTTTTAAAGAAACTGACTGATGGACAACCCACATCTTAAATCGGTAGATTTAGAGGTTTGCGGAGGGAAATTTCTTGTGTACTCTGAAGATAGCTTTAATAAGGAGATAATATTTAAAGGGTTGAAGCGGGGATCCTAGATATTTGAAATTTGGAGACAATATTTCTTGAATATTACAGGGGAGAATTGGATGGTGATAAAATAGCAATTTAAGGACAATATGGGATTTATCTATATATTAAATAATATGCAATATTAATTTGGAATCATTTTTTCCATTCTTTATTTACCCACTACAAACTACCTCAAATTAACGAGGGAAAAATTTGTTGTCACCTCTCGTAGTTTAATGGTCAGAACATAAAGCGTAAAGCCAAAGGTCCCGGGTTCGATTCCCGGCGGGAGTGTGACAACAGCAACAATTTTTCCCTCATTTATTTAAGGTAGTTTGTAGTGGATAAATAAAAAATCGAAATAATGATTTCAAATTAATATTGCATATTAATCCACTATTAAGTAACTAACAATGTCATAGGATTTCATATATTTAATATATATATAATTAAGTTAAAAAAAATCGACGGATCGTTAACCTCGCAGGTCGGTTGGTCGTTGTTGCTGTTGTCATCTCTCGTAGTTTAGTGGTCAGAACATTGGTGCGGAAAGCCAAAGGGCTCGGGTTCGATTCCCGGCGGGGGTGTGACAACAGCAACAATTTTTCCCTCATTAATTTGAGGTAATTTGTAGTGCGTAAATAATAAATCGGAAAAATTATTTCAAATTAATATGGGATTTACCGTCGGAGGGAAACACTATAAAAATTATTTTAGATGAAGGCGAAGGGGTAGAGGCGCAGGAAGTGGAAATGTAAAATCGAATAATAATAGAATTGAACAAGGAATTTTATTTTACTTTTTTTAACAACTGTTATAGATAGTAATATTGACTTTGATTTTCATTTCAGATTCAGGACTGAATATACTGACCGAGAATGATTAACTATGTGAGCATTTTCTTTTTGACTGCTCTTTTATTTGGCTTAGTTGACGTAATGACCGCTCAAAAAAAAACCAATAAGACTGAAGTAATAGAAATCAGTTCTGGCATCAATGGAAGCATGTTAGAGAGGGTGGAGTCAAATATGCATCACATGATGAGGTGGATGAAACACCATCATCATCATCGAGATTTTGTGGGTGAGTTATAGTAGTTGAAAAATTTTACACCAACCAACTCAACAGTTATCTATACTAATGTCGAACTTCTAATGAAAGAAATTCATTAAAGGTTAACGGTACAATCTAGATTTATTACGTACTTCTTAATGTAATGTAATTTTGGTTTTGCGATATCGGATAATTACGTCAGACATAACTAAATACTGCTAAACAAACGAATTGTTATTTTTAGGATAATTACAAGTAATTTGTAAATCAAAGACAGTACAGAACAATTGGTATTTTGAATTGGAATTAATATTCCAAATTCTTCGGTAGGTAATATGGCTAAAAGTTGTTCATAAAGAGACAAATAAAATCTGTATCTCTTAACTTTTTATGGATTGAATGAATTTATTCCATTTCAAACTTCTACCCATTATTGATCTATATGAAATTAAGATTATTAAATGTATACACATGTATATTTAGGTTATATAAAGTAGTCCTGCTGAATTTATCATATAATAAGAGCTTTTTAAAAAGTAGAAATGCATAGAGCATCAATTTCAAGATTTTTGCATAGTTTTTTTAAGTAAGTTTCTTCATTTCGTTTAAAACAGAAAATAATTATCCATAATCGAAACTATACATATTTATGTTGTGGGAGAAATAAGCAGGGCCGTGTTAAGAAAGAGAAATTGCTTATAATCAAAATATGTAGCATGAAAGAAAGTCTGGTCATTCAAAAACTAGAAAAGAGTCTTGTTTTCTAATGTTTCAATAAAGTCGGTTCTAATATTACAATTCTTTCAGCGCTCCCTAACGGTACCTAGGGCTAGCGCGCCCTTTGTCCCTTTTCTATAAACACGGCTCTGGATATCTCGATGCTCATCATCATAAGGTCGTCAGTCCTAAGACTTGTTGGACACGCACCTCCACTCTATCCTGAGCTAACCTTCGCATTTCATTCAAACTAGAACAACCCATATCCTTAACTATTTGCGAATAGTAATCTAATCTAAATCTAGGTCTACTTCTACCCCTCCTAACTCCCCTTTCTGCCTCTAATATGTCTCTAACTAGACCTTCATGCCTGAGAAGGTGAATTGACTTATCTCGCCTATTTCTTATTGACTTCCAGAAAGTTCTCTGTTATCTTATTCTTTCTAATACCTCTTCATTTCTAACCTTCTCTATCCACGGTATACTCATCATTCGCCTATAACACCACATTTCGAACGCTTCTAACCTTTTCTTTTCCGCCGCGCCCACTGTCCGTGTTTCGCACCCGTATAATGCCGTGCTCCAAACATACACTTTTAACAACCTTTTTCGAATTTATAAATGAACCGTTCGCGAGCATAGTGACTTCTTTTTATTGAAGGCGACTCGACCCTGCGCTATCCTCTGCTTTATATCCCTACTATTCCTTCCATCCTGATTTATCTGACTTCCTAGATACCTAAAATCGGCCACTTCTTTTAATTTTTCGTCTCCTATCTTTATATTCGCTCTTTCCCTTACTTTTTTTCCTCTGCATACCAGTATTTGTATTTTACTTTTATTTATTTTCAAATAATACTATTTTGTCAATACCGCTTCCATTTTATTTAAAGCTATCTCCAACTCCTCCTTGCTAGATGAGCATATATAATATAGATGATGATATAGCAGTATTAGTATCTATCATCTATATTATAGATGCAAATCTAAGCATACCAATGTTTTGCCTTTGTATATCTATCCCTACAGTTGCATTGTCTTTAATGACGTTGACCGCGTCTGTCCTCATTCCTAATATTTACTATCCAGAAAATAGAAGAGGAAGCTTTTCAATTAGGTGATCTGAACAACTACTACTGCTAAATACTTATAAGATAATTTAAGTGTTTACTGAAGATAGTAATTTGGTCTCGAGTTTTTTAAAATTAAAAATAATAGATACATTTAATGTTACGTTTCCTACATATTAATTAGTTCTATTTGTATTCTAGTTTCCTACTTTATTTACCTTTTCTGTAATTCGTGGTAACGAATATGTACCGGAAAGGTACGTGTATATATGACATTTGAGAAAGTTCTGGCGATTGCCTAAAACCTCTATTCAAACATGATAATTATCTACTTCTTAGTTAAACACGGAACAATTGATGTTCGTGAGTTTGAATAATAATTGTATATTGACTATTTTTAGGTATTCAAATACCGTCTGGTATACATCTAACATCGGCTTGTTTTGACTGCAAATGAATTAACACTTTCTAAGTGAACATAGTTCTCATTTTTTAATACTATTTTCAAAAAGGAAGCGCTCTTTATTTAGATCAAGGTGAAGACCATTTCCGGATGTTCTCGTAACAGCCTACACTTACCGGAGAGATAAAGTGAAAGTACCTAGTTCAGATAAGAGATATACGCTTACGCAAACCCGTACATAGGATTAATGAATCACTAGAAGAAATATGTACAAATAGTACTCACTCATACTGATTAAATTTACAATTCATTTGATAACTTCTAACTTTCTAAAGCAGTTAGAAGGAAGTTAATTTTAAAATCAACTTAAATAATTTTATTATAATAATTTACAAGTATAAAAAGAGCAGAATATATACATTGGTGATGATATCATATATAAATCCAATAATTAAAAATTTTTGTTCCAAAGTGGTAAGCTATTCCATCGTAGAATGTGGGAGATGTTTTTTAGTGTGCTGAATTACAGATTAAAGTTACAATGTTGCAACGTTGGGTAGGTAAATGAAAAAACATTTAAGATGAACCAATAATGATATCTATAAAAAGAAAAACACGATTTACCTATACGGATAATCATATTTTTTGAGACCGCAATTTCCAATTGTACGTCGTTCTGAAAATTGTTGCAATTATATTCAATACTTTAGTTAAGAAAAAGGTCTGGTTTGTGTGCTAAAGATTAAAATTCGGTGTATTTCATATCAGTATTAGAGATTGCGACCTCAAAAAATATGATTGTGCCACCCCTTAAGCACCCTGTTTTTCTTTTTACATTACTACTTGGTTCAACGTGTCAGGTTTGTCAGAGAACGTTCATTAATTAACTGAGGTATTTTCCTTTTATTTTGGACTCTTTTCTCCCTTTTGACGTAGAGATGAGCAAAATTGGTCTTGGTCTTCTGACCAAAACCAAGACCAAGGCTGTTCTCATACTAAAAAGACCAAGACCGAACGAACAAGACCAAGACTAAAACCAAGACCGAATATGCAAGATCAATACCAAATACGCACAAAATATTTTTAGTATTTAAAATTTTCAGTTAATTTTACTAGATTTTGACACTAAATATAAAAAAAAATTGGTTGTCTGTAAAGTCGGTTTACTGACGATAGTTGAACGTGACAACGTCATAAGAAAATACTGATGGAATGGTTTCATTTCTCAAAAGAAAATTTTAATTTTATTTGTTTGATAGATATTTTGTATGGATATAGAGAAGGAGGTAAATGGAAATGTATTATTGTATAGCAGCTGTCCACGCGGACGCATCGCTCACTCAAGTAGGAGAGAGACAGATGTCGAACGCT